CGCCATCGGCTCGGTGGATCTGGAGCGCGCGGGCGACGGCCAGTGCCAGCCCATCGAGATCCCCATGTGCAAGGACATCGGCTACAACCGCACGCGCATGCCGAACCTGATGGGCCACGAGAACCAGCGCGAGGCGGCCATCCGGCTGCACGAGTTCGCGCCGCTGGTGGAGTACGGCTGCCACGGACACCTGCGCTTTTTCCTGTGCTCGCTGTACGCACCCATGTGCACCGAGCAGGTCTCCGCGCCCATCCCCGCTTGTCGCATCATGTGCGAGCAAGCCCGGCTCAAGTGTTCGCCCATCATGGAGCAGTTCCACTTCAGGTGGCCCGACTCGCTGGACTGCGGCCGGCTGCCCAGCCAGAACGACCCCAACTACCTGTGCATGGAGGCGCCCAGCAACGGCTCCGACGAGCCCAGCCGCGGCGCCGGCCTCTTCCCGCCTCTCTTCCGGCCGCAGCGGCCCCCTGGCAGCAGCGCGCAGGAGCACCCCGCCCAGGACGGGGCCGCGGGGCGCGCGGGCTGCGACAACCCGGGCAAGTTCCACCACGTGGAGAAGAGCGCGTCCTGCGCACCGCTGTGCACGCCCAGCGTGGACGTGTACTGGAGCCGTGCTGACAAGCGCTTCGCCGTGGTCTGGCTGGCCGTGTGGTCAGTGCTCTGCTTCTTCTCCAGCGCCTTCACCGTTCTCACCTTCCTTATCGACCCCGCGCGCTTCAGGTACCCAGAGCGCCCCATCATCTTCCTGTCCATGTGCTACTGCGTGTACTCTGTGGGCTACATCATCCGCCTCTTTGCGGGGGCAGAGAGCATCGCCTGCGACAGGGACAGCGGCCAGCTGTATGTCATCCAGGAGGGGCTGGAGAGCACAGGCTGCACCCTGGTCTTCCTGGTGCTCTACTACTTCGGCATGGCCAGCTCGCTCTGGTGGGTGGTCCTCACGCTCACCTGGTTCCTGGCCGCGGGCAAGAAGTGGGGCCATGAGGCCATCGAGGCCAACAGCAGCTACTTCCACCTGGCGGCCTGGGCCATCCCGGCGGTGAAGACCATCCTCATCCTGGTCATGCGCAGGGTGGCGGGCGACGAGCTCACGGGTGTGTGCTACGTGGGCAGCATGGATGTGAACGCCCTGACGGGCTTCGTGCTCGTGCCGCTGGTCTGCTACCTGGTCATCGGCACGTCCTTCATCCTGTCGGGCTTCGTGGCCCTGTTCCACATCCGCAGGGTGATGAAGACGGGCGGGGAGAGCACGGACAAGCTGGAGAAGCTCATGGTGCGCATCGGGGTGTTCTCCGTGCTGTACACTGTGCCGGCCACCTGTGTGATCGCCTGCTATTTCTACGAGCGCCTCAACATGGAGCACTGGAAGGTGCTGGCCGCACAGCACAGGTGCCGCGTGGACAACCAGTCCAAGACGCTGGACTGCCTGATGGCCGCCTCCATCCCCGCCGTGGAGGTCTTCATGGTCAAGGTCTCCATGCTGCTGGTGGTGGGCATCACCAGTGGGGTGTGGATCTGGACATCCAAGACCCTGCAGTCCTGGCGGCAGGTCTGCAGCCGCCGATTGAAGAGGAAGAGCCGCAGGAAGCCAGCCAGCGTCATCACCAGCGGGGGGATTTACAAAAAAGCCCAGCACCCCCAAAAACCTCACCTGGGCAAGTTTGAGCTCCCCGTGCAGCCGCCTGCCTGTGTGTGAGGGGAGAGGACAGGCACGGGGCAGGCGGGAGCCCACGCTGGGGGCTTTGCTTGTTGTTGTTGTTGTTTTTTAAATAAAAGTTTAAAAAATATATAAAGAAATAATAAGTGTTCACCCTGACATTCAGGATGCCGCCGCAGTACTCGGAGAGCAGGAAGCGTCCTGGGAAGGTTTTGTTCTGCTTGGTTCTCATGGCCGGGGTGCCTGGTCCACGGCCTCTTGCATAGCTCGTCTGGAGTTGGTTCGGAGTTGAGAAGAGCACTTTCCAGCCTCATCCCCAGTGTGCATCTGTGTGTGGGGGTGGCCTGGCAAACGAGCACCCAGAGAAGCTCTCCCCTCGGGTAAGCCAGGAGCCTCCCCAGCCCCACCCCCAGGGAGGCTGCTCCATGTCACAGTGTGTGCAAGGACAAAAGAAGGGTCCCTGGCGAGTCTTCACACTCCAGTGGCGCTGGTCCTGTGAAATAGACTCCGGCCTTCCCACAAGGCCTCCTCCAAGCCAGGAGGCTCCCCTAAACTGAGCACTCATGGGTCCGAAAGAAGTGCAATACATTTTTTTTGTCTTTCCATGAAAATAAAGACAGAAACAAGTATTTTGCTGTACATAAAGACAACAAAAGAACTCTGCTAACAAAAGAACTAAGAGGCCCAGCCTCAGAAACCCTTAGCGTTACATTTTGTGGCTTTTAATGGAAACCACGCCAGTGTTCTACACATTTGGACTCATGTGGAAAGGAGGGGCAGAGGGGAGAAGGCTCATTCAGACGTACCCACAGGGCTTGTTGACTCTTACTGCTGTTAAACAAATGATTTCCACGACTAGATTAAGAAGCGCTGGGCCAAAAAGACAAACTTGTCCAGCACAGTCTCCTCCCCGGGCCAGGAAGGTGGCTCCTGGCTGTGTGTATTTGTAATATATGATATTTTTCATGCGCCACTATTTTATTAAAAATAAAAGGTGCCCTTTAGTGTGCTGCTGGTCCCTGTGTGCTGTGAGGTTTCCCTCCCCTTGGGGAAGGGAAGAGACAATGCCCCGCCAGGATTTTAGACACGGCCTGGGTGTGCGGCCCTGGGTTTCTGGTTCTCCCTGCCTGGAAACGGAGATGGCATTCGCACGCCAGCAGTCCGAGGCTGGAGCCGTCTGTGAGGCTTGGTGGTTGGACATGAGGGCCGAGTCGAAGACAGACTTCTTCAGGACAACCCTGGTCACCCGCCATGTGTACGCCCACCAGCCTGGGCTTGCGGCTGTGAGCTCTGTGCAGGATGGGGCCGGCCACTTAGGAGAATGATGCAACAGGCATGTTTGGCTGTCCTGTGGGGTCAGGGCACCTAGGCAGAGGGGTGCGTGGATGTCCAGAGCAGCTCTGAGCCTGGGGACAGGCGCGTAAGCCAGGTCCTAGATTGGCACAGGGTGTCAAGTCTGTAGAGGGGCGATAGACGGAGAAGGTGAATGGGGGTGTCCCGGTGTTTGGACCCTCCAGTGCCCACCGCAGGAGCTGGGCAGCTGAAAGAGCTGCGGGAGGCCCCGGGCCCACAGGCACACGTGGCCCAGTTCAGGTGCTCCCCAGAAGGCCCCAGAGCACAGCCCTGCTTGTGGGTGACACCGCATGACCCAGGCTGTCCACGGGGTCGGGCTCTTCTTGTCCACCTCCCTTTTAACCCTCACGCATTTATCACACACTTACCAAGAGGGTGATACGAACCCGCCCTCCGCCGGCTGGCTGAGGATGCGAAGCCCTCAGCGGGGTGGGGGCCGGCTCAGCGGCCTGTGGGTGCTTACAGCCCGTAGAAGCAGCGCAAGGGGTGTTGGGGGTCAAGTCCCAGAAACCTGAACCCAGTGAGGTGGCAAAGTGCACGAATACGCAATCCAGAATAGCCTCCCTGCATCAAAACAGAGTGGGTAAAGGTTTCAGTCTCTCAGGGAACAGCCTGTTTGCTGAGGGTTCCCACCCATGCACCCCAACACTGCTCTACAGAAGTAGTCGCACACGTGTGCATGGATGTGTGTCGCATTCCCTTTCGGGGAGTTCCAGGACATTAAACAACACGTGTGGTGTGGAGCTTCCGCAGAGTCCGGGAGGTAACGTTGTCAGCCCACTGTCTGGAGCCTGCAGGCCACACAGGAACGCGAGGGCTTCCGGGTCTGAAGTTATGGGGCTCAGCAGCAGCTTTAGGTGCCCACACTCAGGGGTGCAGGCTTTAACCCAGCCCCAGGGAAGGATGTGTGTGCTGAGTGACAAGGACAGCACTTCATGAAGATCTGAGGAAGTGTGGTCGGCCGCATCCTGGCGCGGCCGCACTCTTGCTGCAGGTGTCCAAGGTGTGAGCAGCTGGCTGAGCCAGGGGGCCTGTCTGACGGTGACCGGAGGAGGAGCAGATGACCAGGCCTGCAGCGGTTTCAGAGGTCTCTCCCTGCCCCTCTCTCCCTCTTTCTGTCTCTCCCCCAACAGCTGAAGGGCCCCAGGTCAACAGCAGAGTTTTAGGCAAGCATCAAAGTTTAGAAGATAAACACACACACACACACACACACACACACACACACACACACACACACGAGCCAGCCTTGGACTCCAGCTCCTCACAGGGTCTGAAGGAATCACTGGCTGCCTTAATGCACACACTGCTGGCCCTGGGTCTTGGTGCTCTTGCTCCGGGAAAATGACCTCTTCCGGGTGGCAGGTGTGCGCGGTGAAGTCACAGCCCAAAGTGGCCTCAAGGACGAGAAGGTGGCCGTCCAAGGTCTCGGGGCCATCTGTGCTCCTCGCCCCTTCTTTCTTTGGGGTTGGTCTGGGAGCCCAAGTAGCGTGTGCTGTGTGCAGAAGGCGGGCAGAAGGTGGAGTAGGACCCCCTTTCTGTGGCTGGAGCCCCGACGGCAGGCTCTCCCGTGGGTGAGGGCACAGGCTCCGTGGACATGGGGGCACAGGTCATAAGAAGGCTCTGGACAGACCACTACAGCCTGCACGCTGCGTGGTTGGGGCTGGCCTCCCGTGGCTTTATCCCAACCCATCAGCGCTCTTATCAGCTCAGCCCACACATGAAGACCATGGTCGCAGAGATTCAGAGGATGCCCAGGCTCACACAGCAAGTAAAACCCAGAACCCAGCCAGGCATGGTGGCATTCGCCCATAATCCCAGCCCTCGGGAGGCTGAGGCAGGAGGATCACCATGAGCTTGAGGCCAGCCTAAGCTACACAGTGAGTTCAAGGCCAACCTGAATGATATAGTGAGACCCTGTCTCCAAAAAGCGAAAAAAAAGAAAGCCAGAGCTGGGCAGTCCGACGCCACGCCTGGGCCCACCTGCAGTGCATGTCAGCTAAAGGGACAGGTGTGTGGCAGCTGTGTGCTGACGCACCTTCCCTCCGTGTCCTGACACCCGCTCCCCTTGCAGACGAGTTAGCGCAGCAAGAGGCCAGGTCTCGTGCCCGAGGTCCACGGGCAGCAAGCGGGAGTCCAGGCGTGCCCAGGGCGTGCGGCTCCTCCTCGGGGCCTCTGCCTCTGGCTCTGACCTTGGGGTTGGGAAAGCCTGCTGGAGATGAGGTCGTTTCATCTTCCTCGAAGAGGAGCAAGGGGCAGACACCGGGCCCAAGTGGGCGAGCGGAAGTTGCATGTCAGAGGAGATCGACGGGGGCACGGGGGTGGGGAGCCCTGGGGCTGCAGGCCAAGCAGTGAAGGGGTGAGGGGGGTCCGGTGGACCTCGAGGGCCTGTGACAGAGGTCAGGGCCTGAGGACCCCAGGCAGCATCCCAGTGGTGCAGTAGGAAGACCAGTACCCCTGGTCCCCTTGGAAGTAGAGACAGTCAAACCAAGTGACCCCGGGGGGCCTGTCCTTCCCCTCCAGTGCCTACCGCACCCCTGTGGTTCTAACCTGACCTCAGGGGAGATGGCGGACAGGAGTGCGAATCCTCTGCCAGCCGGGACCCACCCAGAGACAACCACCCAGGAGCCCCCTGGGGCCGTCCCGTCCGCAAAAGCTGGGTCACCTTGTTTTCCAGACTGTATTTGGTGAGCAGGTGGAGAAGGAAAACTAGACACGAAAGCAGCAGGGGAAAGCTGGCCTCTTGGAGGGAGGAGACACAGAGGGAACTGGACAGGGTGACGGTGCCTCAGTGCATGACCCCATCCCTGCCCAGTGGTGCCCACCCTGCTGGCCAAGCGGGGCTCCCCACGCGCCCTCTTCTGCTCCCACCAGCGTCCCAGCCTCTGGGCCAGGAGACTGAACCCCGCATCTGTGAAAGCACGGGCCGCTGCTCCGCCAAGCAAATGACAGCTCTGTGTGGGCTCCCGCCCCTCCCCCAGGCCCAGCCCACCCCGCTAATGAGCGCTGATCTCCAAAGAGAAGGCGGCTTCTCCTGCACAGAACGCGTTTCCCGACACTGCATTCTGTTTCAGAGGATGCCCGCTGATCTTTCAAGTTTAAAAGCAGGCGCAGGGCCTCCGCGGCAGTGAAAAGACGCCGCGCTCCTCCTCTTTGAACGCGGCCACATCACAGCCGGCTTCCCGGGCACTCCGTGCCGCCGCAGCCACTGCCGGGCACGGGACGGAGGAGGTGCCCAGAGCCGAGTGCGGCCAGGCTCCAGGGAAGCCGCGGAGCGTGCTTGGGCGGCGACGCGGGGCGGGGAGTTTTTAATGTTTTATTAAGAGTGTGAAGGCCAAGCTGGAGGGTGGAGGGAAGGAGGCGTTTGAAATCTACGAAGAGTGAGTTTCAGCCGAAAGTGAGCTGTCTGGTAATTGGGGACCTCCGCGGGAACGGGGCGCGCGCGAGCCCGCACAGCGCCCCGGCAGCCCGATCCAGCACTCGAAAGTCACCGAGCTGGGCCTGGTTATTAGAAGACCGCTCTAATTAACGGGAAGATCGAGGAGGGGGCGCTGGGCTGTCCTGCAGGCGGCCCTCGAGTCTGCGGGAGGACGGCGGGGCCACCCCAGCGTCACACCCGCTCTTCCCCACGTGGCTGAGCTGCAGCGGTTGGCTCAGTGGCGCTGATCACAGATTTCCCCAGGGGAGAGCTCTGCAGCGTTGGAGCGAATATTTGCGCTTTTAAAAAAAAGCCTAAAGCCTCTGCCGCAGCGCTCCGAGCATCTCAGGCCGAAGTACAAAGTCGCCGCCGTGACAGGTGCAGATCAGCCAGTGTGGGGGGCGGGACAGTGACCCCCAGCACAGGTGCCAGCTTTGATCGCAGGCCACGCGGAATGCAGGTGGTCCCCTCCCGGCCCTCGCTGCCTGAGGGCGGGGCAGCACCTGTTTCTGTCCCTGGCCTAGCGTCCGTGGCCTCTCTGGAGCACTCGAGGACGAAGCCCCAGCTGTTGCCTGGCTGTGGACTTTTCTTTCCTGAGGGCATAAATAGCGTCCTCCTCCACACGTGGCCCTGGCCGAGGGGCTCGGGGCGCTGTGCAGAGCCCAGAATTCTGCTGCGCTGTCCTGATGACCCAAGGCGAAATGGACAGAATACAACAGCAAGGATGAAGTAGGCTGATGACAAAATAAATCTGCCATTCTGCGGCGAGGGTGATTGCGACCTTATTTCCCGTCAGTGAGGGTCGCACCTCAGGGGACATGGGGGCCAAAGCATGACAGGGAGAGAGCTGGAAATGGACTGCTGTAATTTCCAGCCTGCCTTTACCTTCTAAAGGCTTTCTTTGCAAGGCAGAAGCTTCACTCATGTCCCACAGGGTGGACCCGATCACAAAGCCAGGTAATCCCACTGGACTGGGAGTGCCAAAGGGCCTCAGACTGGTTAATGAGATAGGAGGCGAGTCCTTTGATTGTGCCAAAAGAAGGTGAAAGAAGGGCCTCGAGGAGTTTTGCTTCCTGATAAAAAGACAGATGATAAGGAAACCTGTCTTTTTCCTGCATAGAATGTGGAGTGATTGCAACTATTTTGTGGCCATGAGGCAATAGCCTAATATTAAAACCCAAAGTCTATGATGACAGGTACACATCAAGAGCAGCCCTCTTCATGATGACTTCATTA